GATTGGTCAGAAATAAACCAATCACATCAAATGTTACAAAGTGAAAGACATCTTTTCGCGTGCTTTTTGACGTGCTGTGACATCATTTCCCTTCCCTATCAATTCTCCAGATTTGAATATCTTGGGGGTTGACAGCCCTGTATATATAACTCAATTATCTCAAGACCCACTTTTCAAGGCCCATACCTCCCATTATCTATTAAAACATGTTTTAAAATTTTTCAAATCTTTTTCATTTTATACATAACCATATATATGCATTTTATGTCAGCTATGGTTTCCTTCAAAATGTCTGGTACCCCACCCCCTCCCCCACCGGTCCTAAATATAGTTCTTACCGTCCGCAAACATTACAGTCAGCGTGCTAAATCCACAGGAAGCCCAATTCAGATAAAATTATAACCGAAATAAAAATAAATATTAGAAAATAAAGGGTGTACGAAAACAATATTATATTGCATTATTGTTTGATTTCCTTATTCGCTTGTATAATACTATTTTGGTCTCGAATACAAAAGGTTTTTTTTTCCTGTTTGTACTTTTATCTGAATTGGGTTGCCTGTGGTTAGAACAAAGCATTGCAGGAGAGTCAGTTGTTTTCAAGTCCAAGTTCAAAACATGACATCGTTTTCAGCCAGTACCTTGGAAAAAAAACTAAATGATCTCTCCAACACTCAACAGAGCGTCCAGACACTATCCCTGTGGCTGATACACCACAGAAAGCACGCTAAATTGGTGGTACAAACATGGAATAAAGAAGTTCACAGAGGTAAGTACGCTGTTAAAGTTTACTTTTCACCACACTATATTTCATTATTGACGTGTTTTTCTCCTTTATAACATTCATATTCTTTGTTTGATCTTCAAGATTATTGTTTATACTTGTGTTTCATAAGACTAAAAACTAATTTAGTGTTTTTAGAAAATATATACGATGATAGATTGATCAAAAGTTTACGAATTCAGTCAAGTTTGTAATATCACTTATTATTTTATAAGTACAGTGTAGACACATTTATCCTTGAATAAGCTTAAGCTTAATCTTATATTTAAGGCATTAGATCGAATATTATACTGAGATATCTGAAGAACGAAGAARGATTGTAATGGTATATATTAAGAAAGATACCGTATGTAGAAGAAATTTAAGATAACAAATTAAGTTTCTGTTAGTAAAGTCTTAAAACGATCTACACTGCACAAATAAGCCTTAATACTATTATATATTAGAACTGTCTTGTTACCATATTTTCATTACAATTCAATAAAAATTAAAGCTGAAAGAATACGCTTTAGATCATATGAGAGCAGCCATGTTGGATGACAGAACAATCGAACGACCCTCTCCTCCAAGAGATTAGATTTTTCTACCCTGATTGGATGCCCAAGTGATTGATGGGATTTTTACATATATTTTATTCTTTAGCTAAGCCAGCTAAAAAGCTAACATTGCTATACCTGGCCAATGATGTCCTCCAGAATAGCAAGAAGAAGGGGTCAGAATTCAATGCCGAGTTCAAAGCTGCTCTGCCATCTGTCTTTAAACATTGCTCACAGTAAGTCAATCATGATATTATAAATAAGTATTTGGAATTAGGTCATTGCAATAATAATTGAAAAAAGGAAAGGGGTACCGGAGAATCCMAAAAAAAACCTTGAATCAATAGAGAATTTTACTTGACGTCACAGCCGCCATTATGGGGTACCAAAACAATACATTTTCTATCCTCGGGGAATTGAAATTTTTATGCAAATACTGTGCAGAAAGTTTCTATTGTTTATGGCTGCCTTCTCACGTCAATGAAAACGCTCTATAGAGTACGGAAGTGTGACACCACAAAAAAAAAAATTTTTCTTTTGACAATTTTCGATCCTCAATTTCAATAGAACATCAAGAAAGAYGTTAACAAGCCAAATTTTAAGAATACCATTTAAACATATAATTTCCCCATACAAATCTCTGTATTTTTGCCCTGGTTAGTTACGTAAGGAACCAGGGCAAAAATACAGAGATTTGTATGGGGAAATTATATATTCAAATGGCCGTATCTCTGTTGCTATTCAACCAATTCTCCTGAAATTTGGCGTGCTATCATCTTTCTTGATTTCCTATCAAAGTCGAGGATCGAAATTATGATACAGTGAAAATAATATTTTGTGAAGTCATCACTACATACTTCGGTTATTCACAATATGTGATTGAGTCCAGGAAATGAAGAGGAATCGAACCTAAGACCCCAGAGCCAAATGCATTGCAACTACATTATGAGCATGTGCACCAGGCTGATGAATTCATATGTAATTGTTGATTGTTAATATTTCTTAATGTTTTTTTTAAATCAGGGAAACATACAAAGATGCTACAGTTAAAGGCATGGGAAGGCTTCTCAAAATATGGTCAGAAAGAGGAGTTTTTGAGCTGTCTTATATAGAAAAACTCAGAAAACTTACCAGTAAGTGTTAAGCCCTTTGTTAAATTTGTTGTAATTTTTTAACATCAAAGAGAAGCGGTGAAGAGAACAATTAAAACTTGTCAAAAACTTGTCAAAAAGAAATTGAAAACTTCAGAAAGTTCACTTTATGCCACGTAGTACAGTAAAAATCCTGAGAGAATAAGTTTTTTTTAATTGCGGGCGACAAGAGGAGCATGCAAGCATAATTTTGACGAGAAAACGCCAATTCCCAAATAAATTAAGAATATCTTCCACCAATGTTCTACGCCCGCACTTCCTAACCTGAGGTTACCCCTAGTTTAATTCATGTGTCTTCCCATGAGCAACCATTAAACAGAGAAATGATACTCTTGGGAATGACACATGGTCTGACAATGGGCAAACATCGCACCATGACAAATTAGGTCTATTTAGCTTCAGTTGTTAATCAGTTGTTAATCTGAGTGTATAATAATACTTGAACTGTTTGTCTCTGATAATAAGCGTTTTTGAAACATTTTTAAAGACATCTCAATCTGTGACCACAGATCTTCTTTAGAGTGGAACGTCAGAGACAAACATTTGAAGATTATTACGAATCCTGGCTTCAATTATAGTAATTTTTTTTATAATGTTTGATTCTAGACTATGAACCTCCAATAGAAGCATCACCACCTCCAAGTAAAATAGCTCGACTGGATAGTGCTAGTGATGAACCAGCAGAACCTCCAGATGTAAGTACAGTTTACCAGGGGGGAGGGAGGGGGGCTCATAACTGGAACGATATTTGTGTTAGCAAGCCAGTGTGCCTATAACCTACTACATAGCTGCGCTTTGGGGGAGGGGGATTCATAAACGTGATTTTATGGTACCCCTAAAAGATTATATTACATATTATATATTATACAGCAATATTCAGATATTATCATCCTTTTGTATATACACAAAAGTATATCAAAAGTATATTAGAAATTATGGGATACCATAGGCAACTCGAAAAAAATATCAGTGTTGATATCCCATAATTTCTGATATACTTTTGATATACTTGTATATATGTACAAAAGGATAACAATTTCTTCATATTGCTGTATATTATATATTATTTATTATATATTATTTATTGTATAGAATTATTGTATATCGTATATTATATTATATATTATGTATTGGGTGTGGCTTTTTAAATTCGTAAGCCCTAAAAATAGCATGACATGATGAAAAAGTGTTTTTTCAATCATTATTATGTTGAATATCTGAGTCGCGTATCTCATGAGTATTGTTTATGCTGGGGTTCTAAATTTCAATTTCAATACCTGAATAGCTGCCAGATTGCACATTTTGACACTTAATATTAACCCCCTCAGCTTAAATGCTCTAATGTTACATGCTACGTATACTCTGTTCATAGGCTGAGGAACTAATTAAAGCGCTACAAGAACTAGAGCAGTCAGCTTCTCAAGATGCTGTGGTTCGAGAAAAAATAGCTAATTTACCAGCAGAAGTTCAAGATGTTTCCTTACTAGAAAAAATTGAAGGTAGGACGTCGTTTCATAGACTGACCTTTCTTAGTTGTACAGTACAGTAGAGAGGTACAGTGCCTAGATCTGTCTAAAAACATGGTATGCGTCATGTCCCTTGAGAATAAATTAATGACAAAACATTTGGTCACTGTGAAGAAACCAAATCCATCCATCCGTCCATCCATCCATCCATCC